CTTTGTGGTAATCTTAGATGAGTAGTTTTATGGACAAAAATCACCAGGTCATTTAGTTTTCCCTTAGTGCTAATGTATAAGAGATGTTGGTGTACTATAACTGAAGTAATGTTGTTAAGTCCTTAAAGTCATATTCTTTTACTGTCATGACTGTATTTGAAGCTTTTTTTTTGTTTGATACCTGATTTATATGGAATATGGCTGAAGTAAACTAAAGTCTAAAATACTTAGTCATTTGTTTAGTAGTATTTAACATTATATAATTCACATATAAGACTATGAATTGTAATTTTAAATGGTTTAAAAGCATGTAGAATAGCATATGTAGGCAAGTATATTTCTCCTTTTTTTTATCAAGAAGCAAAGACAAGGAAAAAAAAGAAACAGGGCAGGGTTTGGTGGTTGAATCATCCATCCCCATCAATGCCAAAACCAAATCTACGTCCTTGGCTTCGAGTATCCTGATAGTTTGAATGACTCGGGGGAGTTGATTCATTTAAACTAACATAATCATCCTGCTGTAATCAGGTTTCTGTAAGGCAGAGTAAATTGATTTTTTGAGCAATTATTAAGTCATGTACTATAGGGCTGCTCAGTTAATCGAATTTTAATCACGATTACAATCTGGGCTTTCAACGATCATTAAAAATGACTGAGCCGATTATTAGCCCCTCCCTCGTGCTTTACTCTCGCGCTGCTCCGTGTGGCAAATCGAGCGCACCTCTCTGCATTTCGAACGCGTGTCACAACAATTAAGAGCAGTGGTCTCCAACCTTTTTTGCGCCAGGACTGGTCTATGCCCGACAATATTTTCATGGACCGGCCTTTGAGGTGTTGCAGATAAATACAACAAAATAAAACTAGTACCGGTACCGAAAAAAAGAAAATTTATTTATAACACACGTGAAAAGACCAAGGAAAACCGAGTAAACGATAACAAAATAACGCTGAAAACCGATAAAAACACTGAAAACTATACATTTCACACCTGAGCCTCAACTCTCGCAGCCCGGCCGGTACCAAACGACTCACGGACCGGTACCGGTCCGAAGCCCGGGGGTTGGGGACCGCTGATTAAGAGGACCCGAGGGAAGCTCGGAAAGCTAAGCAGAAGTTATTTGGAGAGGAGAGTGACTGCCGTTGGTTGAAAAGAGAGGAAAAAAAACTTCAGTGGTGTGGAAACATTATGGGTTCGCGGAGTCAGACGTGGATCAAGTAGACATAGTGTGTAAACTTTGCTACAGTGTCGTAGCTGTACCACAGAGCAACACTGCAAAGTTCACTAAACATAGATGTTTACATTTTTCATTTATTTTTTATATTGCAAACATTTGCACTGTTATCAGTATTTGCACACTATTTTATATTATTTTATCTTTAAAGTCATTATTCAAAACATTGTTACTGTTAAATAAATATCGTCAAATAATCGAGATCTCAATTTGAGTGAAAATAATCGTGATTATCATTTCTGCCAAAATCGAGCAGCCCTATTGGAGACCAAAACAGCCAATCAGATTTTTTTGCATCCAAGTCTGTGATTGGCTGGTTTTGTGGCACAACTATAACGGTGTATAGAAAGAGTTGAGCGGAATGTTGAATGTTGAGAGCGCAAGCAACACATTGCGAGCAAGCGGAAATGCAAACACTGAGCGACAGCGGCTGCTATTGTGTGTGTATGGATAATAGCAAACACTGAAATACAGTTTTTGCACGCAGCAAAAAGTTCACTCAAATTTAGCTTTTCTGCGCTCAAAATAAATTTCTCCTCAAAATGCAACACTTGCACCTGCAAATTTTTTTTACGTGCGCGCAAATTTCTTTTACGTGCGCTCAGAACAGTGGCACAAAAATAACGCCATATAATTGAGCTTTCATCAGGTTAGCAAAGATGCACAGAAAAGAAGATCAGATACCAACTAGGAAGAATCAGAAATACAAACGCAACAATATAGTCATCCCCTGTGGGGCTGATTTATCAGAAAAAACCCAGGAGAGTCTCCAAGGACAACATGCCAGTGTACTTCAGACCCAGCCACACACTCAGACAAAAACTGTTTTATCCCAAAGACAAAACTCCTGAACACAAACTTAAGAACATATCCTGTATCCTGTTGCAAGGAATGCTCAGACATCTACACTCGAGAGACAAAACAGCCACTTGATAAATGCATGGTACAACGTGGAAGAGCCACCTCCACGGGACAAGACTCGGCTGTCCATCTGCATCTAAAGGACAAAGGTCAATGTTCACATTTTGGACAGAGAAGACAGATGGTTTGAAAGAGGAGTGAAAGAAGCCATCTATGTTCACTGTGAACAACCGTCTTTGAACAGAGGTGGTGGCTTACGAGACCAACTGTCTGGCACCCATAATCCAGTTTTGAGATCCCTTCCCAGACATCCTGGCTCAACCTCAATAAATCACATGATATATTTGGGCAAGGTTTCACAATGGGTCCACCCGAAACCTTGGCTGATTGTGACCCACACCCGTTTTCACACCTTGGCTCGTGCGGACACTCCCATAGGTCTTCAAATCTGGGACTCTCCACTGATTGCATTTAGAATTGAATAAGCTTCTCGGATGAGAGGTGAAACGTCTTCAAGAAAACTTAAAGAAGTCCAGATACTTTTCTTTCCAAGTGGTTTTGAATTCTTCCCTTGCAACAATATTTATAGTAATAATAATAAACACCTTTTATTAGTAATTTGATTTTGTGCTCACTTATGTTATCTTTTTTTAATATTTACATTTGTTTGATGATATGAAATATTTAAAAGTGATAAACATAGAAAAAAATAAACAAGAACAAGAAGGGGGCAAATACTTTTTCACACCACTGTATGTGACTCTTCCCTTACTGTTGTGTACTGTAACTTTTGAGCCTGGAAACCTTCCTCAATCCAATTCTTCTTCATCCCGAGACAATCAAGCGAATTTGTACGAGAGCAAAAGAAGAGACAGAAATGATTTCTTTCTGTTCAAATCTTAAACTTGCTCCCAAGCTATAGTAGAATGGCAAGCGTTATTTCAAAACACCTCTCTCTTCTCATTTCATGCCAATTTCATTTCTTGGTAAATTAAATTGTAGCCACTTTATTATTTTGGGTCCCACAGATCCCACTACTGTGAAAACATGTAAAGATTATTAATCGTTTTGTATGCTTTGTGGACTGTGCGTGTACAATGCTTTCACTGACTTTCCACAAAATTAGTAAGTCATGTGCAAGTATATCATGGTGACAATACAAACTGGCATCTCTCTGTTTTCTTTTGTTTGTTTTTATAAGCAGTACTTCTAACTTGATTATTTTGATTCTCTTATTGCAAAAAGTGTTTTGTTGAAAATTTTAATTAGGTGCAGCCCAGCACAGAAGCATATACAAGCTCCTTAAAAGCTGCTTAAAAATAAAAGCATTTTGGGCCACATTCTCAGTTATTTTACAGTTTTGTAACACTACCTGCAAGAAACACAGAGGCAGGGATGCTGGTGCAAACTTAGCTTGAAAATATCACAAGGCTTCTCATGCATGTTAATATATTCCATAAATAAAACAAAAATTAGGTTTAAACAATGTATTATGAATGTTGTACATTCCATTTTTCTAACGAGAGTAAATACAACATTTAATTACTACATTTTGTAATACCGACATATCTTCTTTTTATATATGACACATTTAAATAGGCTTAAAATAAGCTCAATATGGCAAGAACATATTCAGGTTTTTCACATGGCATAATGTGCACAAGAGTTGTCCACCTAATTAGAAAGATACAACCACCAGTTGCTGGAAAAATGTGTATTCTCTACCACGGGTTGTGTCATGGTCCCTGTGATCAACAGCTGATCCTGTATTAGGCAACATGTGTTTTTGTTGTTTTGCTCTTTCTCTCTCTCCTGCTGGGGCAGTGCTCATTACGGGCTCCCACCCCTGGCCCATGCAACTGCCATCTCCACACCAGCCGCTCAGTAGTTTGAAAATCTGAATCTGTGAGTTGCTTCCATCAGTTCGTCTCTAACTGAAGTTTTTGTGTGCAGATCTTTCCCGGACTTTTCCCTCCCTGCCTGTAATCCTGTGAACGAGTGTGTGGATGTGTGTGACCCAGTTACGGAGTGAGGAGAGTGATTTGGAGACCCTTTGGAGCGCGTTTGGTCCCCTTCCTTTCCCTCACGGACCCTGGAGCCCTGGACCCCCCACCCCCCAGCACGTTGTATATATTATCACCTGGTGTTGTCTGTATGAATAAATTAACTGTCTTCTCTACAAGGATTCCTGATCTGCGCCTGAGTCCGTTAACAGGTTGACATTGAATACATAATGGGCTTGGATTTACAACATTATGAATGAAATGTGCTCTATTTGGAAGCAGCCACCCCCCTCCCCTTTCGACGGGTTGTGTGTGAAACTTTAAATCATCAAACTGTAAATTATAAATTTTAAATTGTTACTGATCCTTTTACCCCGAGTCCTAAAGTATATATTTATTTTCTTACTCTTCTTATATTTATTGTCTGTTTACTTGCACTGCTGTAACTGGAGCCACGTTGTCTCGTCTCTCTATATACTGTACTGTACTGTATGTAGCGGAGATGGCAATAAAGTTTACTTTGACTTCAGCAGCGAGCAGGTGCACCGAGGGCTCTCGCGCTCACGTTTTGCATTTTTTTTTGCATCCAAGAATTTCGAAAAAACATCAGTGCAAATTATAAGTCTGTATCATGATGTCTGGTCTTTTCGTGTTTGTTGGTTTGTTTTTATTTTGTTTTATTTTGTGAGCTGGTAGATGCTGCTCCATCCAGAGAATCCCCCGCAGCCCCGCCCTCTCCCAGCAAATGGGCGATAGAAAACCGATCGGTGCCTATGCCATTCCCACTATGCGCTGGCATGACGTCGGGGCAGCATGAGTATGAGCAATTTTTTTTTTTTGGCCGATACCGTGATGCCGCCCCCCACCACTATGCCGCCCCGGGCAACCACCCGTGTCGCCTTTATCAAAAACTGCTACTGCTCACCCAGGCAATGCAGTGATTAAGTTCGCAGATGATACCACCATGGTGGGGCTCGTCTCTGGAGGCGACGAGACAACATACTGAGCTGAGGTTCAGAGGCTGTCGGATTAGTGTGCAGACAACAACCTGGACCTCAATACAACCAAGACAAAAGAACTGGTAGTCGACTTCAGAAGGAGGAAATCTGAGCTGCAGCCTGTCAGGATCAATAGGGGAGAGTGTGGAAAGGGTGTCCAGTTTCAAGTTCCTGGGTGGGCACATAGACACACACCTCCAATGGAGCTCAAACACCTCAGCGGTTTTAAAGAAGGCCAACAGCTCCTCCACTTTCTGAGTATCCTCAGAAAAATGGAGCTGAAGAAGGAGCTGCTGATTGTCTTCTGCTCCACTGAAAGTGTGCTGACATACTGCATCTGTGTATGGTTCTCCAGCTGCACCATGGCACACAAAAAGGAACTTCAGTCATCAATATGGCCCAAAAAAATCATTGGATATCCTCTTCCCTCCCTGAAGGACCTGTACAGCACTCGCTGTCTCAAGAGGACACGCAGCATCCTACGGGACTGGACACACCTGGGACACCGGGGGTTTAAGCTGCTGATGTCTGGCAGGAGGTTCAGCTACTGATTTTGGGTTGACAAACAGACTTAAGCACAGCTTTTACAACAGGGCAATAGCCATAATCAGTGCGAACAACCGAAGTAGTAGAGCAGGGGATCCAGGAGGCAGTTCAGACTTCCCAAACACAGAAACACCAGATAGAGTGCGTAAGAGCCATCAGGTGCCTCCTGGCTCTTCTTGGGTCCTTCATTTAATTGCAGGTAGTGTGCAAGCAGCAGACCGTTTGTAGGCATAAAGCACAGCAAAAATATCACCAGCACAGTGAAAGTCATTGTCACTGCTCTTCTTCTCCTATGTGATGTTTCTGGAACATCATGTTGGTCTCTGCTCAATGACCTGATTACTTTGGTGTAAGATACCACTGTGATGAGCAGAGGCAGGAAGAAGAGGAGGCAGCAGAGAGTGATGAAGTAGGTATTTTGCCAGATAATATTTTCTGTGGCGTGGACATCATGGCAGGTGGTGATGTTCAACTCACTAATGTTATAAGTCTGGACAGAGGTAACGAGAGGCAATGAACCAGCGAAAAATAACACCCACATGGTTATACAGGTTAGAACTGCAGTCCGTGAGTTCCTCCAAGCCATAGAGGAGAAAAAGAAAAATGGGGATTGTTTTGTTCCGAGAATTCAGGATAAAAACAGCAGCAGCTTACAATCACAGTGTATGACCTGAAATTTTTGTTCTACATCCCCACTGGTGAGGGAACCAGCCTGTCCTCAGCAATGGCAGGCCTGCTGCATCTCACAACTGCAGAACTGAGTACCCAGGGAATATTTCCAAATATTTCCAGATCACAGTTAGTTTAGGTGGCATTAAAAAAATACCTTTTTCAGTTGACTTTAATCCAAACATCAAAAAATTTCTATGGCTGATCATAGATAAATCAACAAATTGCCCATTTCATCACCAATGTACTCATCATCATTTTTTAACAGTGTAGTGGACAGTTTTCATATGATTGTTTGGTTTTTCTCTGTATCTATGAAGCGCCTTGAGGCGACTTTTGTTGTGATTTGGCGCTATATAAATAAAATTGAATTGAAAATTGAATTGAATTGAATTTTCTTACCGTTATTGCCTGTGTGGGAGACAGCACACGTACATAACAGAACCAATAAAAAAGTTGAAACTGAAAACTTTCTGCAGGTGAGAAAAAAAGTAGCTAAATTAAATAGCGGAACAAAGCCAACACTTTGCTGTTATTCTCTTCACGTTCCTTTATGTATATGATTCCATGCCTCTCCTGCTCCCATTCATCATCAAGAAATATATAAGTGGATATAAATATGTAATCTGTTTGAAACGCACCCCTCCACACCAATCAGAGTGGTTTGCACATAGAGATGTTACACTCTTTTCTCATTTCACAGTTGCACATCATTTCCTCTCCTCACGTTTTAGTTCCTCCCACCAGGGAGTAGCAGAGGCGCCAATAAACAGATAGATGAAAAACAAGTAGAGACAACAGCCATTTACTGAAGTGAATCCTTGGAGTCTTATTTTATAGAGATATCAATTAGATATGAAGAGCCCTAACCCAGTCCTTCAACTGCTTCTTTTTGTAGAGCTTTGACAGCATTTCAAGGGCAGTATAATGTGATATATGCCATGGTATGAAGAGTCTAGGATCACTAATTGCAGATTTTATTATTATCATGATTATTTATTTATTTATTTAAGAAGATGACAAACATGACATGTTACGGGTTTTCACTGTTTATAAATAAGTGCTTAAAACTTATTGGCAATAATGTATAAACAATAATATATATTAAATAGAAAATGGTTTCCTGCAATTAAGTGTAATGGCTATATAATTACATATAGCTGTGCATGTTCTAGATTACTATCTGTGAAAAATGTCTTTAAATTTTTTTATTTTTTTTTTATTCATTCACTCTAAAGACCTCTGCCATCACACATCTGTGGTATCTGCTGCTTTTGTTGGGCAGTATAAATAGCAATTCATCAAAACAGACATGAGTGAAATACAGCGAATAAAGCAAAAACTGTTTTTACAATTCTAACTAGCTTGAAAGTCAATATTTGGTATGACCACTTTTATTCTTCACCATGACTTGAACTTGTGAAAGCTTTCATGTAATTTGTTTAACTAGTCTTCAGGAATAGTTCTCAAGGCTTCTTGAGGGGCATTCAAAGCTCTTCTTTGGATGTTGTTTCCCTTTGTTCCATTCTCTGACAAGATGATGTCACACTGCTTGAGTAATGGTAAATGGACTGGTTCTGATCTACGCAGGCACTCAAACCACTTGGTATTTCCATCCAAGTTCTAACCAGGCCCAAACAAGCTTAATGAGCCCCTGTAGTCCCTGAACTATTGTGATACCTTGGGTTTATATTGGCAGTCATGTTCATAATTTTTTGAAGTACAAACAGCTTGGAGTGTTTTTTCAGACAAGCTGTACTTACACTACATTAACATAAATGTGTTTTCCATTGGCCATGTAGCCACCGACAACAAAGATTTAGCTAACAGGCTAACATGACTGGGACTTCTGTATTCAATGATAACCAGAGATGGGTCGAGTATCCAAAAATTGTACTCAAATAAGAGTAAAAAAGTACTTGGTGAAAAGACTACTCAAGTAGTGAGTAACTGTTTGAAATGTCCGATTTATTTTTTAAATAAATGCTATCAGACAAACAAAAATAAATAAATATACAAATTTTAGTATTTTCCAACAGGAATATATGTATAAAGATCAACAAAATAAGGCACAACAATTCTAATTTCCAGATTTCAGTTTTTCCACAACATAAAGCTTTTTTCACCAATACCTACAGTAAATAATATAAATATATAAACAGTGCAAACAATTTCTAGTGACAAGATATGCTGTAAACTTTATATTCATTTTGCTCCAAATGGCACAGCAGCCTCAGAGAAAACATTAGAACAAGGCAACTTCAACATAAAGGCAGCTCAGTTTACCATAAGTTGTATGGGTGTGCATTTATTTCTGCATATTTAGCAAAAATGTGCCATTTCTTCACTCAGTGAAGTGATGGTTAAGCTTCAGCAGCAGTTTGCTCTCAAGGTTCTTTCTGTGAAGCTGTAACTGTTTAGCAGTGAACAGGAGTCCTGCCTGACTAAGAAGTCCTTCACAAGCTCCAGATGCATGAAGAGCTGTATTGATTTTGATCGACAGCTTCTTGATGTGAGGAACATCCCCCAAGAACCCGAAGAATAGAGTCCTGGCCCCTAGCCCTGCCAGTGTAGCAGAAATGATGATGGATGATGATGGCAGCAGCAGCCGTTCTTCTCTGGGTGAGTAGCTTAATGTTGTTCGTGTGTAATTCACGTTGAGTAGGCTAACCACGTTATTACATTAATGTATGTAAGGTGAACTAGCAAACACCATCGTAATTACATGGGGCTGTCTTCTTGTTTGATGGCAGATGCTCCCTTCACCCTGGCCAAAAAGGCTAAAATGACCAAAGAAAAAGTGGAAAACAGCTAAACATGAGAGGTTTTGGACAAAGTTTTTTTTCCCCCATTGATTAAGCACTGCTTCCAGCCAAGAGTGATGTCATAAATCCCCTATAGCTGCAGAAAAGGCTAACATTGTTATCTTTTTACAAAAAAACAGCTGAACATGAGAGGTTTTTGGACCAATTTTGTGTTCTTCATTCTTTAAGCACCGGTTCGAGCACCATTTAAGCACTGGCACCGTTTCAAAAGAACCGGTTTGGTACTGGTATCGGATAAAACCTAAACAATACCCATCCCTAGAAAACAGGCAACCCACCCGCAGTAGATGTGCTCGGTGTGAGGTCTCGCAGCAAGTTATCAAATACGGCGCATTTCTCGGCTTTTAACAAAATGCTATACGTCGCCAGGTGTTTCATCAGATTCGAGGAGTTACCTCCTTTGCACAGTATCACCTTAAAGTACTTGTTGCAGGCTGCTGAGTTTGCATCATTTGCTGTTAAGTACAGCCAGAATTTGACCGCTTCGACTTGGGCATTTTTAATCTGTAGCTCTGCTCTAAAAGAACGTACGTACCTGGACCCACCTACTTACGCTGGCAAAGGTAAAATGATTGGCTAGAATCCAAAGTGCATGACATCTCAGGAAACAAAAACCGAAATAAAGCACCGAAATGTGCGCTGCTTTTCGGTCTGGTTATTACCGTTTATGCCATAATGGCACCGGATACCGGTACCCATCCCTACTCGTTACTACCCACCTCTGATGACAACATACTGTAGATTGTAATAAACTGCTCTGCCACCTGGCTGTAGCTCAGGTGGCAGAGCAGGTCAGCCACTAATCAGAAGGTCGGTGGTTCGATCCCAGGCTGCATCCTGGCTCCAAATATCCTTGGGCAAGATACTAACCCCGTGTTTACCTACTGCTGGTGTGTCCGGCAGCCTCGCCTCTGTCAGTGCGCCCCAGGGCAGCTGTGGTTACAATGTAGCTTGCTATCGCCAGTGTGTGAATGACTGAATGTAGTGTAAAGCGCTTTGGGGTCCTATGGACTAGAAAAGCGCTATACAAATGCAGGCCATTTACCATTTACTCCAAATGTTAATATAAATAAGTGCTGCACAAATGGTTAGGCACTAATGGAATCTAGGAAATTTGTGTCTCGATGTGAAGTCTCCTGAGAATCTTATCCATTAGCTGGGAAATGTAGATCATCTGCTTAGAATCAATCACTTTGGGCAAATAAGCTGAGTGTTATATTACTGACCAAAGTTTCCTGAAGACTATACATTTACAAACATTTATCTCCTCGGGGGTAAATGACTGGCAACATGGCTTTAATAGTCACATTCAACAGCCAGCTTGGTAATAAACTTAAAATGTCTAATTTCTCTGCAAGTAAAAAAAATCCATTAAAATGTTTTATCTTTATTATTTGTGTTTTGTAATGCAAAAGAGTACATTATCACCACAATGTGTTCTGGTATCTTGTGATTTTGTGTTTATTATCATAAACTGTGCTCCTTGTACCTTCAACTGTAGCAGGCCTGGAGTACTTGGTATAGGTTTAATGCTGTGCAAACTGCAAAATACAAGATACAAAATGCATATAAAGGTGGTTAACATCAAAATAAAAGACAGAATTTCAAGCTAAGCGTGTCCAGAGGTCCGCTGGATCTCACTGTAAATGCTCTATTGTTTCAGCTTAACTTGTTAATGTCAGTGTTTAAATATACCTTTTTGCCACAGTGCTTTTCAAGGATAAATTACCTTTTTAGATTTTGTGGCTGAAACAGGCTGTACTAACATCTGTAATGACAACCTGATGACCGATTTTCACCTACAGCCAATTTAGAGTAACCAATCAAGTTATCTTACAAGTCTTCTTCTTCTCATAGATCTGATTGTTGTGAAATTACAGTACTTTTCAAAAGGTCCTAAGTAAGCCCTCATTTCTATAAATTTTGGTTTCAAGGAGCCCGATTTTTTTAGTCATTGTATAGGCCTTGTACAGAACTATGGACATTGGCTGCTTCTTTTTTTTCTTTCCATTTTCAGTGCAGTCATTGCACCTGTTTCCCTGAAACTACTCAGGGTGGCTGTCAAGAAGCCATTCTTAAGAAAGGGAAACAGGGAGAAAAGGTTGAGGTATGCCAGATTACACACAAACTAAACTAAAAGTCAGAAGGTTTTGTCAATACATAGTTTGTGGCTGCATTTTAGCCAGTCGTATTGGGCAGCACGGTGGGATGCACAGCAAGAAAGTCCTGAGTTCAATTCCACCATAAGGCGGGGGGTCTTTCTGTGTGTAGTTTGCATGTTCTCCCCGTGTTTGCATGGGTTCTCTCCGGGTAGTTTGGCTTCCTCCCACCGTCCAAAGAGGAGTTAGTGGAGATAGGTCAATTTATTATGTGAATGCGGGAGTGAGAGCGAATGGTTGTCTGTCCCTGTGTGTTAGCTCTGTGACAGACTGTCGAGGGTGTACCCCGCCTCTTGCCCTATGACAGCTGGGATAGGCTCCAGCGCCCCCCCCCTGCGACCCTGAAAAGGACAAGCAAATGGATGGATGGTGTTGGAGATCTTGTCAAACATTGATATCTGGGAAGTGTCTGATTGGCAATTGATTTATTTTTCAGCATGGTAATTACCCAAATATATTGCCAATACATTTAAAGCATACCCAGATAGAAAAAAAAAAAAACACAAAATAGACACTCACTTATGGGCCTCCCTGGAGCCCACACCTCAACATTATGGAAGCATCTTGACAGAGAAAAAAAACAAACAAAAGGCAGCTAAAGAAGAGCTGTGGACTGTCCTTCAAATCTGTTTTGCCTTATGTAATATATTTTCATGCTCCTTTACACATATTTCCAATTTTACTAGGAAAATATAAAGCATATAAAGGGGTTACTCAAAACTGTATTTTATAGGAACAGTAGGTGAGTTATAGTTCCTGTGGGTTGTGTATAATTGTGCTCATCACTTCAAAGTTACACATGTCATGCTGATAATGGAAACTGGCATCTCTGTTTAAATGTCCACTTTGACCAGTAAATCTATCAGCAGTAACAGCTATTTCTTGTTTTGTTTTAAATATTTGGCTACATTCACCCACACTTCTGAATGAAAGATGAGGCAAAAGGAATATACAACTGCCTACTGGAGAGAAAAGGACATTGGTGCAGTAGGATGAACTGACACTCATCAATGCACACTCTCACCAACAGAGGGAGGCATGAAACAAACTATGAAGGGCTTTAAAATTATAGATGGCATTGAGACATGCTTGTAGTGGGAGTCAAAAATATTTATTCAGTGAAAAAAATGCTGCAAAAAAATAAATAAAACTGGTATATGTAATAAAAACAAAAAGTCATAAGTAACTGCTTTTCACTGGTTATATATAAACACTTTAAAACAAGCAAACAGTTAAAAAAAATAGCAAACTGTTAAAAAAAATGGATTGAATAATACTTACAGAACAGTGAGCCTTTATATATAGGGTGCATAAAAATAATAGTATTTCATTTCAGTGTTGCTCTAAAAAGCAGTCTTATCTGAACTCCCTTCATCGTTTAAAAGGCATAATTAGGAATCCAAACAAAGCTAAACCCTATATATAGGCTTTAATTGTTGTTGTTGTTTCATAACTTAAAGAAAAAAAAAATCACATTTAAGGATTCAATTAAAATGTCAGCTCAGTGAGAGTTAGATGAGTAGTTTCTTATATTGGCTGTCGGTGTTTTCTTGGAAAGAATCCACTTTAATTGAAGAGTTTATTTTTGAACTTTCTGTACAGCTGGATTTCAGCATTGGTCTGGTGCTGGATCTGCATGAAGCAGGTAATGAATTACTAATATCATTTCTCTTTGTAACCTTATGACACTTGAGCACGTTGGAGAGTTGTCTCTGGCATTGGGAGGATCCAAAGTAGTAGAGCAGGGGATCTAGGAGGCAGTTCAGACTTCCCAAACACAGAAACACCAGATAGAGTGCGTAAGAGCCATCAGGTGCCTCCTGGCTCTTCTCTGTGTTAAACTGCAGGTAGTGTGCAAGCAGCAGACAGTTTGTAGGCATGAAACACAGGACAAATATCAACAGAACTGTCAAAACCATCACTATTGCTCTTTTCCTTTTGTGTGAGCTTCCAGGGAGCCTTTTTTGGAGTTTGCTCAGTGACCAGATGACTCGAGTGTAGGACACCACTGTGATGAGCAGAGGCAGGAAGAAGAGGAGGCAGCAGAGAGTGACGAAGTATGTCTTTAACCAGACGATCTTATCTGTGGAGTGGACATCATGGCAGGTGGTGATATTCAACTCACTGATATGAAAAGTCTGGTCCGATGTAACAAGAGGCACAGAGCCAGTCAAGGATAACACCCACATGGTTATGCAGGCTATGACTGTGTTCCTTGGCCTCCTCCAAGCCAGAGAGTCAATGGGATAAACAACAGCAAGCAGACGGTCCACACTGATGCAAGCTATGAGAAGAACAGAACAATACATGTTCCAGTAAAAGGCAGCAGTGACCACACGGCACATGGACGGGCCAAATTTCCAGTTGTTGCCTTCAAAGTGGTAGGAGATCTTGAAGGGGAGCATCAGTGCAAAGAGCAGATCAGCTAAGGCCAGGTTCAGCATATAGATTGCAGCTGGCTTCTTAGGACGGATCCCCCGAGCAAAGGCCAGCAGAGCACAGATGTTAATTGGCACACTGATGGAGCAGACCAGCGTGTAGAAGGAAGGTAAAAGGATGGTGGACACAGGGCCAGTTAGAAACATCAGGGCCTGTTCCGAAAAAACTTTTCTGTCCTTGGGACCATTTAAAGAACGATTTAATGTGCCGTTATCATCATAATCTATTGGTTCATCCGTCACTGACTGGCGTAAGCCATACAAAAAGCCCCTTCCATGTGGAGCAGCTGGAGAAAGAGAGAGGGGGGGGGGGGGGGGGGGGGACAGTCTGATCAAAGGTAAAGGAAATGGAAAAGTTTTGGCTAATCCAACAGGAAGACAATCTTCATTTGGTATCAAACAGTTTAACAAACATATACCACATTTTACTAGGTCCAGATTATGCATTTCTAATTTATCTAATTACCTTAATACCAGTTTTGTCCATTGAAGAAAAATCAATTTCAATTTTAACAATACTTACCAAATTTAAAATCGCTAATTAAATCATTTCTTAAAAACTTAAAAAGTGCTCTTAATTGCTACTATTTTATTACTTCAGCTTGGAAGGGAAAACACTTCTTCAATGACTTTAAAATAAAAAAAAGAAAACCATCAATTTTATGCCGACTAAATGTAGCTAAATCAACACATTTCCAGTGAAAGTTTTTTAAACAGTGTGCAGGGAATGCCAGAGTTTTAAACATAGTAGAAACTTTTCTTACTTGCGTTTTCTCTTGCGTAGGCAGCACCGAAACACGACACAAGGCACAGAGAAACTAACAGAGACATCGGAAGCATTCTGCTCACCGGTCAAAAATAAAATCACTAAACGAGAATAAATTGATTAAATGCGCGACGTTAATACTCTCCGTTCCCAGTCGACCCAGAGTTCTTCTGCTGCCGCTCTTCTACAGAAGCACGTCAAATGTGGCTTGTTTACGCCCAAATTTCGGCTGGTCAGATCCTATCGCGCCCCTCCACCAATCAGAGAGGTCTGTTCCCAGACACATTCCTGTGGTGTGATGTCACCTTTCCAGTCACACAGCAAGGTCAAGATCTAACCAAAGACATGCGAGCAGCATCGACCCCCCCATCCTCCCCCCCGCACCCCCCAAACCTCGTCAACAAATTAGGACCGTTTTAATTAATGATGTAAACGGTTAGAAGACAGTTCATAGATTTTTGTCTATTTAAATAAAAAAAAACAAACAAACAAATTTTTAAAGTTCTCTAATGAAACCTTTTACCTGTCGTTTTAACACACGATGAAAAACAAAATTAGAGTGAGACGGGGCTTATAACGTAGCATATTTCAAAGAAAAAGGCACAATGTGTTTCAAATGGCACATACAAAACAGTGTGGGTTTTTTTGTTTGTTTGTTTTCTTTAGACAGTGAAGTTAGATGAGCCTCATGCTTTTTTTTTTGCTTTTTTTTAAAGCAAAAACTCTCCTCTCAACCCAGGAAGCATGACTAACACTGCAGAAAGTTGTGTCCTTTTTCCGGACAGCACATTGAACTCTGCCTAAGAGCTGCATTCTATTTGATGAGTGATAAGAAACAATGATAATGAAGCACAGTAACCTAGTAGTGAAGGGACAACAACAGCAATTTATTTATCACCACTTTAAATTGATCTTTCGTTCAGCTAAATATGAAACTGATTTTCTGTTCTTGGGATGTAAACATCCAGCAACACATTTCAAAGTATTAACTTCTGGGAAAATGCCTTGGAATAAACAATTTTGTTTGAAGTGATTTAACTCATCCCTGCAGACTCTTAACTGCTTCCTTTGTTTGTGACAGAGGGCAAATGGAAAGCTCTATAGGGTCATTAATTTTGGAACAAATATATTTTCAGACAACAAAAGCCAAACTTTTTTCCCTTTTCTTCTTTTTATTTTTTTTAACCCTTTGTGATGAGATAAGATGTTGCCATTACTTATTTTAGACATATTCAAAAGGTAGCTGGTAAAATTATAAATGTGCCTTTACATCCTCCGTTCCTGGTAGCAAATTGCTCTTCAGAGTTTTTCCCTTTTTTGTCTATGTGTCCTTACATTTTTGTTTACTTGCTTATGTAAACTGTTTATCCAGATTGCAATTGCTTGTCTTTCCAGGAAATTACATGACCATGGTACTTCCCACTGGTGAAAATGACCAAGAGACAACCAACACAATAATCAATCATACGAGTTAAAGTAAAGGGAGTTTTTATATTCATGTATCTGCTTTAAAAAAGTCTATATTTTTAAAGTGCTGGGATGAGAACAGAGGACAGTAAAACCACCAAAATGAAAGGCACCTTTGCCTTGAAATGTGCTGATTACATTTTCTCTGTGTAAGATGAAAAGAGAATTCCTGAGGGAGGGATGGGAGTAGGGATTGTCAGCAGCTGGACTTTTTCACCTTGCTTTTTGCTTTTGCTTTTTGCTTTCATGCTTTTATATTCACTCAAACTCAGAGAGGCAGACTAAACCCATTTCCTCCCAAAAATATTGGTCACAGTGAATTGTTTCTTATTTAAACATTCTTACATATTTAAACATAAAAAAAAAAATCATAACACAAATATAAAATCATATTTAAACATAAAATCTCTTTCTGCATTGGTGTTACCTAAAGCAATAGTTTAACATTTTGGGATAAATAAATTTGCTTTCTTGCTGAAGGCGCATATCTTGCACAACTATAAAGACCCAACCAGCGTACTTGAGCATAAAGACTGGAAAGCAGGAAGTATATCTATTTATTTATTTTTATTTTTTGGGGGCCTTATTATGGTTTTATTTTTGATAGGGACAGCAAAGACTGACAGGAAAGTGGAGGAAAGAGAGAGGGGAAGACATGCAGCAAATAGCCTTGGGTGGGACTTGAACCCAGGCCGCCTGGCCGCTTTCATAAAGTCCACATATATCGCCTATCTATACCAGAAAACTTCATTAATTATAGCCTACATTATTTTCTTCATTAGGACTTGAGTTTTAAATAAAATTGCTGACAATAGGGAGATTACATGGAAAGAAGTGGGTCTGCATATAGATAGTTAAAGCTTTTTTATGTTTATTGTGTTCCTCTTGTATGCCTTAGTGCATGACGATTAATCGATGCAAAACCTAAGGTATTTCAGTCATGATTGACAAGGTGTTGATCTTGTTACAGTTTTCATAGTCAAGCCTTCAGTTCTTGGGGTGGGGCAAAAAACCTGAGCAGTACTGGCAGCAAGTGTGTATTCTGGTGAATTCCGCATGTTGTAATCAACTGAACTTTCTCATGACTTCCTCAGAATGACTGGTGACTTGGCCATTCTTTAACATATATAAATAACAAATAATAACTCGTAACAGAAAATTGGTTGGCTAAATGAAAGTCACAGTATTTTCACAAATGTATTGAAGACACATAACATTTGATTTTCACCAAGAAGAAGCAGAATTTGAAGTTGATTACTTTGTTGATGTTATCTAGAAACTTCTACATACACGATACCACAAAACCACTTAACTCAGGGTCCATAATGAAACATGATGAAGTCCCAAGCAAGCTATGTTAGTTAGCCCCTGTTATGACACTTGAAATTCAACACCGCATTGCAGAATATAATTATATCCCCTGAAGGATGATTAATATACTTTAGGTAGCGCATTAGTGTTACTGCATTAGTATAGTGTTTTTGTACGAGGGTATCGTCTGAAATGAATTTCTACTTTGCTCTCTAGACACTCCCCAAGTTAGCTGCTGCTCTAGTGTTGGGCAGGAAGGAAGCATTATGCTTTCAAATACTTTTTTATTTCTTGAAACAATGAGTGCTGTGACCGTGTGGGAGAACAATAAAAATGATACTATAAGGCTCTGGGACTGGCAGTATAATTCTCTGGGTTAATGGCTGCCAGAAACTGTTTTCCTGAACATTTTTGTTGTGAGAAAAAGTACAGTTTGGTATGCACAGTAGTGGACATGTTGTTCCTGCAGCCTGCAAGGCTTGGGGAGTTTCTAAACTAACAAAAGTTCATTCGTGCAAATAGGAGGAGGAAGGATACAGACTGTGGGAGATTAGATCCAGAGCAATGTCACTGCCACGCTTCCTGCTTTCTGTTTTTTTAGCGCCTGTAACAGCTGAAACAAATGTCTTAATGTTGAAGACTTGAGCATGTTTTTCTTTCTGTTGGCAAGTGAATAGTGTATTACTGTTTTTTTTTTAATTAATACAGCCATAACAATTTTATGGGCAAACACTCAGATATCTACTTTAGCCTAGTTCCAAGAAATACAGACCATATAAATATATATATGTATATGTGAAGAAATGTAACTGTTGGTGCTTACTTCTTTGAACTGAATTAGAGCAAATTCATGTAAGTCATTACATCAGCGCCTTTGAACAAATAGCATGTTCATGCCAGCCTATGCAACGCATGAGGGTTCTTGCACTTGATGCGTTTAAAGTGTATGTGTAAAGGAGTCATAGCACTTCATTTGTTCCAGATTTTGTCATGTTACAGCCTTATTCCAAAATGCATTAAAAAAATTTCAACTTAAATTCTATGCACAGTACCCAATAATGAATAATGAATGGTGCAAATGAACATGAACAACAAAATGTGTAAAACTCAGATAATCAAATAAGATTCAACAGCATGTGATTCAGCATATTTGAAGGACTTGAACTTCTCTAAATTCATGTTTTCTCCAAACAAATCAACAGCAAACAGTGCAAATTTCTGAGCTCATAAATCCACCATCTTTTTATAATGTTCATGAGTTGCACAGTGTCTGTCAGTGAGAAGATTGGCATTGCATAGATTGAACCAGAGAGCTTTATCCTTTACATGTATCCATGTAAGATTTTTATAGTTGTCTGGCTCCACCAAACTCCAGAAATGCTGAGAATGCTGCTGAAATTTAAGGTGGACATCATTTTGGAGATTTATGATGTCCATCTCCAAAGGACCAACACTGAAAAGCTCAGTCATCTGCCCTGACAACTCACTAATGTCAACATCTAGGAAGAGGTTAGCAATAAAAGTCTCAGCAGGCTCCAGTTTCTCAAAGCCATAGAATCTGTCTGAAAACTCCTGTCCCAGTTTGGACACCAGATCACAGAATCTGTGTCCATTAAATACCTTTTCTGCTCCTAAATGGGACTCCAGTATCTTTGCAACTGAGATGAAGTGCTTAAGTCTTTTATTTAGTATCTGCTGGATATAAAATGAGAATTTAGCTGTGAACACCTTCACAGCACTGATCATTTCACACACTGTTTACTCTCAGCCATGCAACTGCTAGATCAGCTGGTTAATTCTTTCAGTCACGTCCACTAGGAAAGCCAGATCCAACAGCTACTCAATATTTCTTTGTAATGTGGTATCCTCTCCTCTTACTCACATAGACATTCACTGTGTATGCTATTGCTTCCTTGCAAGTAAATAAACGCGTTGGGACACACTACTGTGTGTCTCACTTCATAAGATAATTTTTCTAACAGGTTTTCTGTTTTCTTTGTATTATTGTAGGGTCTTTACCTTACAATATAAAGCAGGTTGAGGCAACTGTTGTTGTGATTTGGTGCTATATAAATAAAATTCAACTGAATTGAATTGAAGTGAAAAATGTCCATCCATATTCAATTTCCAAGGCAGGCTTACTTGTTTGATAGGATTTAAGGGTTTCTTTTATTCCTCTCCGTGAGAGCAAGTGGCTACATGGGTAAGTAGTTCACATATCTAACTATCAAACAAATTATCTCTGGTTTGAGTATGAGAGGAGCCATTAATGCATTGACAGCTGTGTCAGGAAGACTATCTGTTGCAATACTCTGTCAAATCAACTATATGGTGACCCCTTGTAAATAAGGGAGTTGTAGCTAAAAGATGCTAAAGATCTTTAGGGGGTATTATATGAGAACTGATCTGTGTCTGAGCTCGTTCACAGGGATCCACACACTTTCTGCTGAACACAATCTGACTACTCATCTACTCTCCTTATTTTTATAAGGAGAATGTGTGTCTGAAAACTTATGTCAACTGCAGAGAGAGACACATATATCAGATTTTAGCATCTGTTGATCTACAGCTGTGAAATCCAAAAACAGTATAGATATAGAATATTTCAGCTTGAAAAGATTACAGAATGAGGAACTTATTTTTTTTAGACTTGCAGTCTGCTAAACTAAACTAAACTACACTACTAAATAAAATACAACATCTGCGACCAGAAAACAGGAAGATACACACAGCAAACATAAGAAAAGAGCTGAAAACCATGCAGACGGCAGATATTTAGTGTGAACCACAACTTCCTCCCAGAGGAATATGACTAGAAACTCTTTGTAACTAAGAGTATGAGATCTGACAGAGAACACAACAGCAAAATGTCAGACGTCACTCAACTGAAAAAATAGGGAGATTTCTTCTGTGCAACTGGACAAAAATATTTTCTGTTTCTAGAAAGAGCATTGGTCCAGTGATTTAAAAGAAAAGAAGAGAAAAGTGCCCCCACCCCCACTCACTTTTCATTAACGCTTAAAAAAGATTGAGATAAAAAAAAGTTCAGCATGTTCCTGTTAGCAAGCATACATCTACATGTACCTTGAATAAATATCCTTTCTTCTATCACAGATAGGATCAAGATGACAAAAACACAATCGCATAACTTTTTAGAGAGTCACATAAATGTCATCTTTCTTGTTTCAAGACTCTATTGACAATAATTAATTTCCTAGGTTGACCTTGATCAGACAAAAGTGCTGATGTCAAAGGAAATAGCCTGGAGTACTGATTTATTTTAGTATATTCAGTGTTTGAAAGTGTTCCTGTTTTTTTTAAAATTCTTTGGCTGTATCATACCACACTTTTACTAACCAAGTAACTAAAGAGGAAGTTAGCAAGCACTTTCCCCCCCAAAAAATACACAATACAGTTTTGGCACATGACTGTGAACAGCACATTTTCCCCTCACCTTGCCCTCTAGTGACAGTACACAGAATTCCATGGCAGCGGAGTATTGGGCTTACAAGATTTAAATGACACCTGCTGTATGATAGTGTAGTAGTTTGCACCTTTTTAACATCTGGTGTAAAAATTTGATAAATAAAATATGCAAAACTACCCACTGTGGTAACCCCTTGTAAACAAGGGATACTACTACTACTAGTACTAGTAGTAGTAGTAGCTTCTCTTCTACTGTTATGTAGAAGAGTGCAGATAGACTTTTATATATTCTGTATTACTGGAAATTTTAACCTTTGCAGAAATAGGTGAAAGGTGTTATATTGCTAAAAATCCCTGGACGTCAGAGCCATGGGAAGGTACTTGAAGTTGAGGGTGCTGAAGTAAGAGTGTGCATGTGTTGGGTTGGGGGTACTAATTTCTGAGGTATAAAATATATATAATATATTCCATCTGACCCCACTGGACACAGCAGACAAGGTATTTTAATGAAACAGCAGCGCAGACACAGAATAATTTTGTTTGCGTACAGCTGACTAGAACCCATCTAAATATGGATATTGTTTTAGCCAGCCCAAAAACCAGATTTAGACAGCATACAACATACCCAAGAACTCTTTTGCACTACAGATAGGAATGTGAAATTACCGCTTAATGATGTAGGTGGGTGGTTAAAACACAAACTTAATTTAATAATGGAGTTTGACTAAAGTTTTCTCTTGGGATGTTAGGGTGCCATTAAACATGTTCTTTGTTACTGTCTTTTGAATGTTCTTAATTTATGGTTGTAAGGTACATTTACCTAACGTTTCAAACATCCACCACAGGATGGCAACATCGGGAAGAACAATAGTTACTTCTTCCAGATGTTGCCAAGTGCATCTCTGTCTGGTTTTTTTTTTTTTTTTTGTGCTGTTTGTTTTATTACACCAGACACAGAGTCTGCAGTCCATTCTCTAGAAAATCTTTAAAAACTAGTACACCTACTGGTAGAAAAAATAATGAAAGGTCACTGATGAGGGGAGACGGAGCAAGAGACTGAGAGATGGATTGGGGGCATGGCTGCAGTGATGCAGATGCTGTGCTGGTCCACCGTGGTGAAGAGAGAGCCAAGTATAAAAGATAAGCTCTCAATTTAGCAAGCTGGCTTGATTGCTGCTAATTCTACGATTAATTAACTTTCAGCGTCCATAGGGTCAGAGTTGAGAAGTAATAATGTACAAATGTGTTATACTTAGAATTTGGGGGTATCTGTACTTTACTTGAGTACTTCTTTTTCTCAAATTTTTTTTATGTTTACCCCCTACATGTTAACACAAATATCTGTACTTTCTACTCCTTACATTTTAAAAATGGGCTTGGTACTTCAGCTTCAACCCTTAAAGGGATGTAAGCCATCCTCATACAAGAATGCTACAGTACACAATGTGAAAACATTCCTACATGGATTACAGTCAGTTACTGCCTTTTCCCATTCTGACAACTCTGTCTGCCAAATATACAGCATAGCCCTACATATAACATACACATGTATGTTTATACTTAATTAACCAGCATCATTACATCCTTAAAAAATGCAAGGTTTTCTTATAACACTAGTTAAAGAAAACTAAATAAATTACAGTACGACCATTCTGGGAGTTTCAACATCCTGGCCATTCATCCATCCATTTTCTTCCTCTTATCCATGGGCCAAATTGTGGGAAGAGCAGCCTAAGCTTAACAGCCCAGACCTCCATCTCCTTCACTCCTTCCCCCTTCTTTACCTCATCATGCGGGAACACTAACACGTTCCCAGCATGATGTAAGCTTATAACCAGCTGTTATTGTTATAGCTGTCAGCTGTGTAGAGGATGAGATAATCCATTATATAAAATTTCAAGCACCTAAGCAATATTCTGTCCCTAGTGTCAAGTACAGAGGACTCCATTTCCTTTTATAAGTTGGAATGAGTGAAGAAGCAGCCAGCGCCCAAAGAAACTCTGGAGAACTATCAATTAAGATAATTTTAAAATATTTACAAGGTAGTCTGGCTATTGGAAGAAATATGTTAAGAAAGAGCTTGAATCCTCTACACAGCACTGTAATATGTGTTTATTGTAACGTTATGTTTGATTCACTGCAATGGCCAATTTGTAAAAAGTACTTTTCATGAAAATCGTTGAAGGTAAATTAAGAATAAGACCATGAACAACTGGTAACACCAGGTCATGTATAGATAAACTTTATCATGAAATTCCTTTGCATAAATATTAATATGTCATGATTATTAGTTTGCTGTAAATAAACCTTTTGTCCTTTTTTGTTTTGTCATATCAGATAAATGTGTCATATCTGACATATTATGGGCTCCAGCCCCCTGTAGCTCTGACAAGGATGAGCACAAGAGGATGGATGGATACTTTCAGTCACACATTTCTTTCAGATATCTCTGACTGTTACTGAAACATATGTTAAGCACAGCTCTTATCATATGGAAGGAACAAGTTAATGTTTTGGCTTCCTGATATTGGTCTCAGTTTGAGATATTTTGAGTAAAAGGATGTTGATATCATCTCTGCAGTTTGAGATATTTTGAGTAAAAGGATGTTGATATCACCTCTGCATGTTGTGAGTCTGAAGACTGGCATTGCATTGCTGAAACAATTGCACGACTGGAAGGAATGTGTAGAAATGTAGATTTGTACATTTCTATTTGAGGGAGAGAGGAACAAAATATGGGGAAGATACTTGTTTTACTTGTTTTTGCTCTCTGCATAAGCAGTACACAGCTGAAAAAAGGTAAGAGAATTTTATAAAAATTTAAGAGCAGATTTAAGTGTTTTTTCATGGAAATTGACAGTTAATCTGATAATTAAACTGCCACAGTTTCATTATTCAGATAAAAATACATGATTTTGCCATTGAATGGTTTATTATAGAATGGTTTTGAATAGTTAGCCAAACATTGCCTTGTGCAGCTCCGTCAGTTTGAAAACTTCCCGTATTTTCTGTCATGCATATTCATCTTTGATTTTTCAAGCGCAGAAAAAACAAGCGTGGCACTGAAAACGGTTTTCTATTAACAAAATATATCAGTACATATGTTGGTACAAATATATTTGAAATACATTTACATTTTGAATGTAACTTTCATTTTTGTATTGTTTTTTTTGTTTTTTGTTTTTTGCAGGACAAAAGACACGGAGGGAGCAGAAAAACAGCTCTGAGGTTGTTTTTCCCATGCTCAGAACATTTAAAGGGGCCCCAGTCATTAACATCCAGCCCTTCGTAAATGGGACTCAGGCTTCCTTTCTAACTTATTCCTCTCCAGCTCTGAACTTGCTCAACAACAGCACAGTACGGTACCTCGGTGGTTCTCTGAGCACCCGAGTCATTCCCATTATTTACACGTTGGTGGTTACAGTTGGGATTCCAGCCAACGTCAGTATCTTGTGTTTGCTAGTGACTAAAATCCGAAAGGTGTCTTCTGCCATCCTCTACTGCAGCCTGGCTGTCTCCGACCTCTTCCTCCTCCTCTCCCTCTTCTTTAAGGCTCACTACCATTTCCATGGAAACCACTGGGTTCTCGGAGAGACTGCTTGTCGAGTTGTTACGGCATGTTTCTACGGCAATCTCTACTGCTCGGCTACGGCGCTGGCTTGCATCAGCATCGAACGCCACCTTGCTGTGGTGTACCCGTTCCTGTACAAAAGTATGCCCAAGAGAATGTGCGCTGCCTGGGTGAGCCTGGCTCTGTGGGGGGTGTTTGGTGTCGCCATCATCCCAGAGCTCATCGTCCAGCAGAGCTACTGGCTCCCTCACCTCAACCGCACAACCTGCCATGATGTGTTGCCCCTGGATCACAGCTCTCACATGTTTCTGCTCTACTATCACCTGATTCTTATCATCTTTTTTCTTGTGGTGCCTCTGGTTGTTATAGCTGTGTGTTTTGCCCGAATCATCAACAAGCTCACAAGGTCACATTTTGACTGGGTGACGTACATCAAAGCAAGCACACTGGTGTTTAGTATCTTCCTGGTGTGCTTTGTCCCCCCTGGAGTCCTACACTTTGTCCATTATGTTCAACTGTTTGTGGATGGAACAGAAACTTTGTATGTGTACTTTAATGTGGCAGTGTGTTTGTGCTGTGTCCATGCCTGTCTGGATCCCTTCCTTTTCCTTTTCATGTCCAAGGCTGCACAGTCTAGGTTTCATTTTAAAACTTTCAAGAGAAAGACACTGAGCAGTGTCTTGTTAACACGTAACACGTAGACTAAGGGTTAGCAATAAGTAATTATGACTTTTTATTTTTGTAGCCAATCATGAGGAAAACGATTCTCCTTGGTTGCTATCCAAAGAGAAATCAAAAATACCTATTCTATTCATTTAAAACTTGCAGTTTACCTGAACCTGATTTTATCTTTGTTTAGTTTATGTGTGTGAGACACATATACAATTGGATATTAAAAAAAGAAAGCACTAACAGGCCAATTTATTAAGAACAGCTTACTAGTACTGAAATTGACACCATTTTGCCTCCAGAACGCCTTTAATTCTTCATGTAATATGTTCTGCAAGTTGCTGAAAACATTCCTCAACAATTTTGCCTATATTGACATGAAAGCATTATGCCGTTGCTACAGATTTCTCAGCAGCACATCCATGATGCATGATGTGATTAGCCAAGAAGTTATCTATTGCTATTAAAAACTATCACAAATCAATCAACATGAGTGACCTAAATCTTGCTAAGAGTAAACCTAACTTGATAATATACTTGTTTTGTTGCATAAATAATAAAGAAAATATCTGAAACGTTTATTCCAGAAAAGAGTTTTTGTGGCATTTTCTTCTTTTCCCTCCACATTCTAAAGCTATGAAATCACAATGACATGAAGGGTTAGCTGCAATGTTGATCCTGGAGGAACATTATTAGGATGGAATGCCACTGTGTGAAACCATGTGAACTGTAGTCTCAGTTGTACACACAATAAACACTGCTGTGTGATTAGATGTTAAGATAACACACTTATTTTGCAGGCAAAAATCAGCACACTTAAATTTCCTCTTGCTTACTTTGGCTCTATAACTAGCACATGATGTTTATTTTCTGAGTCTATAATACTAAAGGCCTTCCTGATGAACACTTCTGATGTTGCGTGAGGCTCACAGTTTAAAATTTGTACATTAAATTATGTGAAAAAGCATAATCTTTCTACATGTTGGTCTATAAATTGTGTTTAGGAGAAAAAGTTGTGGGAGTCACAAAAGCTGTTTGGGGGAACAAAAGTATAACAGCTGAAAAGGAGCAGCTCTACACCTTTAAACTAAACCTGGAGAGGAAAAGATTAAATGATGACCAAGTTGAAAACACAAGCCTAATCTAGAAGCAGGTCAGTAATCCTGACTGTGGTGTACCTGGGTCGTAGTACAGAAATCCTATTCCCAGCTCTTAATATGCTAACGATACAAATAAATTGTTGTTTAACCTACAGTATTATATTCTAGAAATCACACCTTTGTTGTGGGTGTCCTGTGAGGACAATGTACATATAAAAAAAAATCAGAAAAACAGGCCTACATCTTGAATTTTCAAAGAGTGTATTACAATATTAATAGAAAAATCAGATGAATTAAAAGGCTGGGTATTACATGCTGTCAACATGCATGGGGGCAATAAATATATGAATGAAAAATGAAAATGAAAGCTGCAAAACAGCTCAGGCAAGCTTATTATTATTAGGTAATATTATATTATTAATAATGAAATCGTAATATTATATTATATTATATTATATTATATAAAATTACTTATTAAGTAATTTCCATATTTAATTTCCATAGTTAATCTGAAAGTGCTGTGAGCGTGCACCTGATCAACATGCCTGTTTTATTAGACTAGACATGATCATATTATTATTATTATTATTATTATTATTTATTTATTTATTTATTTTTATTATTATTATTATTAACTTTTTTTTTTTCAAACTCCATCTTCTCTGCATCGCAAATGTCGACCGAGGTGGTTAGCAAGACGAAATTGTCATGATGCTAAATCACTAAAGCTCATTTAATTAATTGCTAATAACTGATGCCATAACATAGGCAACTCCAGGCCTCAAGTGCCGGTGTCCTCCAGGTTTTAGATCGCACCCTGGGTTAACACACCTGAATCAAATGATTAGTTCATTACCAGGCCTCTGGAGAACTTCAAGAAATGCTGAGGAGTCATTTAGCCCTTTAAATCAGCTGTGATGGATCATGGACACATCTAAAACCTCCAGGACACCGGCACTCGAGGCCCTACCCCTGCTGTAGAGCTAAAGTGTTAGTTGGGGGGGGGTTCATATATTTTGTCCAGAATGTGTGCGTGCAGACAATCAGTAAATAAATTCATACTGTTTTCGTGATAGCATAGTTTGGTGCAACTTTCCACGTGGTCACTGTTGTTTATATTTGCGTCATCGGACAGTTTACTACTTTGTGTGCTGAGGTTTGAACAAGCTCATATGAGTTGCACCGTTTGGTGAATACTTTGTGACTTTATTGTTGGTTCACTGTGTAGACATATAGAACTTTCTATATGTTAGTACATATAAATAGTATGTTTATTTTAAGTATTAATTTCTGGCGTTATGTTTGAGAAATAAGCAGTCAGAAAAATAAAATCATGTCCAAATAGACGTTACATTGCAGGTTTATACAGAAAATATTTATCTGTTTATTATTAGGTCATTTATTCCTTGTTACAGAACCACGCCCCTCTACATAGAAACAACAGCACAAGTAATTTATTTTTTATACTTAATTTCAGTAAGCTGCATTGTAACCATTGCCCCCTGGTGGCTAAATTTTTTATTTATCATTCACCAAATATATTCTTTAACTCTACTGCAGTACTTTAGTACATGTAAAATTTAAGTTTATTTATAATGGCATTTTATAGATATTACCATGATTTGTTTGACCACAAACAAATCATATAAATCCGCATAAATTTTGATGTTGTGATATCCGTCTTACTTAAAAAATGAGTAGTCTGAGGGTTTGTGTGAACAAAGTGACTTAAAATCAAGTCATACTAATACACAACTACATTTTTATAACAAATCTAAAGGACTTTCAATAATTGGTTAATCAAGTTATTAGTCTTTGAAATTATTCCTTTTAACAGCCCAATACGAGTAGGTGGGCATGTATTGTGTAGCTTCATGTTTACTATTCTCTTCATTATTTGAGCCTTCAAGGGTGCTGTTATGATTTGGCGCAAATACATGAAGGTTATAAATTCTTTGTTAGTTCTTTTCTGGAAGTTTTAAACTTAAACTGTTTGTCATTAGAAAATAGAAACAGAAAGTAACACAATGCGACGACACAGGAAAGATGCAGTTATTTTAGGCATACCACTTGCACCACTTTTAAGAAAAGAAGGCGGGGGATCATGCTTAGTATGACTATGAAAAAAGCGATTTCTGCCTACGTCACCACTGTTCGTGGTAGACAAAATGGGTGATATTTAACTGGTCGCAAATGACTTGTAATGACTTGAGGAAGTATTTCTCTTCTGTCCCCTCACGGCCACTTGTGCCTCATGACACTCATTACACATGCATTTAGGTCCTTGGGGGTGGGCATGGTGTCCAGAGGGGGGGTCTGTTCATTCAGCATCACCACTGGTGCTGGTGCCCACTTCTCAATTTTAAAACAGCCTGTAGACATCGAGGGTCACAGACATACATTATGTTGGTCGGCTGCTGCTTCTAAAAATATCTTGTGTTATTAGTACTGTGTGCTTTTCAGTAACAGTTATCATTTATTCTTTACTGTTATTATTTATTCTTTACTATTATTTATGCATATGTCGGTTGTCTCCCTTTCTGTCTCTATCCCTCTTCTTCTCCTCTATTTTTCTCTCCCTCTCCTTCTGTTAAATTCCTTCCCAACTTCTCTTTCTTCTTTTTTCCCATCCCCTAGTGTTGTCTGTTGTAACTATAATAATTCAAAATAAAAAATCCTAATAAAATTCTAATAAACTATGACTATCAAGTGGAACATTATGCAAAATATCATAATGATCCACTTGGGAAAGTAAATCTGTTGGGCCTTTTTTGGCCTTTCAGATAACAATTCTGACTGACACACTGCCGGACAGGAGAAGAGGAAAAAAATGTAAAGAAATGTCTGTGAAGGTTCTCAGTCATCCAGGTCATCGTAGTCAAAGGAGCTTGCAAGGAAAAGCGTCTGGACTTCTTTAAGTTACTTGAAGACGTTTCACCTCTCATCCGAGAAGCTTCTTCAGTTCTAATGTAAAGAAATGTAATTAGTGGAGGATGGTCTCCGACTTTCACTGAAACATAGATTAAACATAACCTGTTAGTCCTCCTCAAGGTTGAAAAGAACATTCTAAAGTTTCCATTAAGTTGACTACAGTGGGGAACATTTGGTTGTCTCAGTTTGAGTCATCTGTGACATTTGGAGTTTGACGTCACAACAGGAAGTTGAGGTCACTGCTGGGGCACAACAGACCCTGATACTGATGTTACTTCTTCCCTCTGATAAAAATATACGCCGAAAACAAGGCCCGGGTCACATCTGTGATCAGCTGGATGTCTACAATAATAAATTATTCTTTGATAAAAGCAGAGAAAATACTCCAACAATCCTTCCACCAGCATGTGTCCTGATCTGTCTTACCCTGATCACTTTCAAGCATATTAAGTTTCCTGTAAATGTAAAAGTGAAATGTAAATAACATGCCAAAAACACAGAACTTAAACTGCAGTAACAGAAACCTTCTTAAAGGTTTCTGAACCAAAATGAGTAATGTTTTTAGTGAGCGTACCTGTACACAAATAGCTGCAGAAAAGGAAGGGAAGACAAAGCTGCTCGTGTTGAGGCAGGCTTATCATCTTCACACAGGCATTTCCTTGACTCACCAGTTTTTCCTTTTTCTGTGTGTTACCTCTCTTCATAGCTCCAAACTTAGGCATCATATAACTTGCAGCACTAGGAGAACTGTGTGAAAATGTATATTTGAACATTTCTATTTAAGACAGTGAAAATGATACACAATACACACGGGAAAAACTGCGCAGAAAGTTCTGAGTAAAGTACTGAGATATCAGGTAAAAAGTGGGTCAGTATTTGTTTTGGCAAAGATACAGCAACAATAAAATAGTTTTCAGACAAGACAGAGTAGGGGAGTGAAAACCATTGTCCTTCATATTCAAAACGAAAGCAAAGATATTTTGTTTTGATACTGTGTTGGGTGAACGTGTGATTTTTTTTTTTTTCTTACAAGGGTCGGCTTTCAAGTTCCTCCCACAGAGCTAACTGAGCGAAGCAGACTGGGGTGACAGGGAAAAGCAGTGATAACAAACAAAGAAGACGCTTGCTAGTGACTCTTAAGCTGGGAGCCGATCAACAAGAAGAAAAATATGGGGAAACTACTCCAGGTTTTCTTCGTTTTTGTCCTCTGTATAAGCAGTACACAGCAGAAAAAAGGTAGGAGAAGCTTGTCAAAATTCAACAACAGCTTTAAGTAACAGTTTCATGGACTTGAGAGATAATCTAAAACATCTGGCGGTGTTGCTGAGGGTTGCCGGGTAGAATGACTGTTTGGTAAAAACTGGCTGAAACAGGATTTGAAGCAGATTCATGACCCTGAATTATTTATTATACATATATATACTTTGAATAGTTAATATTTCAATATCTTGACATCATATTCTCCAGCTATTTCAGTGAGAGGATTTTTTTTGTGTTTTCTGAGTTTCCTAATCATTATTTGTTCGTGGAATTTAAGTTAGATGAAAGTGTTTTGAGAGCATTTGGCTACAGATGAAACTAAATATCTAAATACCTAGCACATTGTATAGATACTTTGAGCCAGTATATTTGAAATCTATGTTGGTACAAATATATTTGAAATTCATTTACATTTTGAATGACCTGCAGTAACTTTCATTTTTGTATTGTTTTTTTGTTTTTGTTTTTTGTTTTTTGCAGGACAAAAGACACGGAGGGAGCAGAAAAACAGCTCTGAGGTTGTTTTTCCCATGCCCAGAACATTTAAAGGGGCCCCAGTCATTAACAATCAGCCCTGTGTAAATGGGACTCAGGCTTCCTTTCTAAATTATTCCTCTCCAGCTCTGAACTTGCTCAACAACAGCACAGTACGGTACCTCGGTGGTTCTCTGAGCACCCGAGTCATTCCCATTATTTACATGTTGGTGGTTACAGTTGGGATTCCAGCCAACGTCAGTATCTTGTGTTTGCTAGTGACTAAAATCCGAAAGGTGTCTTCTGCCATCCTCTACTGCAGCCTGGCTGTCTCCGACCTCTTCCTCCTCCTCTCCCTCTTCTTTAAGGCTCACTACCATTTCCATGGAAACCACTGGGTTCTCGGAGAGACTGCTTGTCGAGTTGTTACGGCATGTTTCTACGGCAATCTCTACTGCTCGGCCATGACGCTGGCTTGCATCAGCATCAAGCGCTACCTTGCTGTAGTGTACCCGTTCCTGTACAAAAGTATGCCCAAGAGAATGTGCGCTGCCTGGGTGAGCCTGGCTCTGTGGGGGGTGTTTGGTGTTGCCATCATCCCAGAGCTCATTGTCCAGCAGAGCTACTGGCTCCCTCAGCTCAACCGCACAACCTGCCATGATGTGTTGCCCCTGGATCACAGCTCTCACATGTTTCTACTCTACTATCACCTGATTCTTATCATCTTATTTCTTATGGTTCCACTTGTGGTTACAATTGTGTGTTTTACCCGAATCATCAACGAGTTAACAAGATCACACTTTGACTGGAGAATGTACATCAAGGCCAGCTCACTGGTGTTTAGTATCTTTCTGGTGTGCTTTATACCCTCTGGAGTCCTACACTTTGTCCATTACGTCCAACTGTTTGTGAATGGAACGGAAACCCTGTATATGTACTTTAATGTGGCAGTGTGTTTGTGCTGTGTCCATGCCTGTCTGGATCCTTTCCTTTTTCTTCTCATGTCCAAATCTGCAAGCTCCAGGCTTTACTTCATGTCTTTCAAAGGCAAGACGCTGAGCATATCTTTCTAATAGAAACCTGTTTAACAGTGTTAAAAAGTAAGTGATCATACTTCTTATTTTTGTGGATGATAATGAGAGAAATGTTCTCCTTGGCAGGAATCCAAAGAGAGATCAAAAGCACATGATTTTTCATTTAAAACTATAAATGGATTTCATCATTGTTGTATTAACCTTATTCTATGAGTCATAATTGTTGTTTTATTATAAAAGTTCTGTTTTTGTGACACCCACACACAAAACGTAACTCCTATATTTAAAAACTAGAAAACAATAAGAAACTTGAAAGTGTAAAAGAAAAAAGAAAAGAAATGTATACGTACATAATACATTTTCCTGTTTAATGACAGTAGTGGCAGCAAGATTTACAGCATGTAGGGTCATTTTATGCTTATTGTAATTCACAAGTTATTTGAAAAGATGCAGTGCAATGATACATAAAATATGAGTTTTAGTGTCTGCCATTTGGTTGCTATTATAATAGTATTTTAGTAAAGCTACTGTAATCTCCATAAACAATTCATTAGAGTAAAATGCATATACATATGTTCATGTTCCCTGAATTTCATTTTTCTCTCTACAGTGTTTACAGTAATTTCCCTACAATCCTCTGTTGTGTAACTACCCTGAAGATTTGAACTGGAAGTTAATTTCATGATGGGCTTTAGCTAAAACATAGCTGTGTGTTTTTATGTCAATTTGTATATGTATATAGTATATGGATGTACATAGAAGATGAAAGGATGTATATTATTTTTTAAATTAAATAATAAATATAATTAATAAATGTGTCAAGTAAGAATACTATACATCTATACTTAAAAAAAAGATTTCATAACCTTTTTGAACTTTTACAGTAGTATATAACTATATTCTATACATTTCTGTATCTCCGGCTTTCCTGTGAACTTTTCAAAGATATCATCAGTTATTAAACTACTCTACTTCTCTCTGCTCTCTACCACTGACTTGGTATTTCCTAACCAGCCTTTGACAGGATGTAGAGTAAAGTGACCCTGAGGAGTAGAAAAGTCTACTGTCCGTCCGTCACGTCACACTGGGGTAGTAAAAAAAAGAAAGCACTATGTTAAAATTTTGTCTATGACTCACTTCTGGCTGTAATTGACATTAATGATAAGATAGTTTACTGAGATTAATCTTTATTCTTTATTAAAGATTCTTTGACTGTGTCTTTGAATAAGGGCAGGCAGAGAGAGTTGCATGTTTTGGTAAATTTAGTATGAATGGCACCATCTGCTGGTAAAAATGAAAGTTCAACAGCTGCTCAAATGAAACTCTTTATTCAATATGTAGATACCAGAGGAATCCACCTTTACACTGTATTCACTAGAGCTTTTTATCAGCCTTATCAAAATAAATCATGTCAAGGTCAGATTTTTATCTTTACACACACACCTGCACATGTAGTTTGACAGCAGAGCTTTTCAAATCTGAAAGTCTCAATGGTGGCACTTTAATTCCTGCTCCAGTGACAATAATGACTAATCTAACTCGAAATCACCCGAAAAACAGATCTGACAACCCCTGCTGGAGGTCAGTTTGTAGTAAATACAATCATCTCATCACTAGCATGCCCCTTCACAATGACGCAGAAGAACAATTCAGTTTAAGGAACACCTGTCCACAACAAACCTGACAACACACGAGAATGATACATTCACCTTTAACCCGGGAATCACATCTGTTAACCTCCACAGAGGAACAGCAAAGACACCAAAATGGCATATAGCACACAAAACAGAGGGACTTAACAAACATGCAGGGTTTCAGTCTGGAAACTGTGATGTACAGTATAACAAGTTTGTTCAGCACAAGTGGAAGAGCGAAGGAGAAGCCACAAGGCAAGGCCGAGGACAGACAGAGATAAAGCATCAAACACAGGAAAGCAGATTCATATCTTGAAACAGCTGCAGTCCATTTATATTGGTAGAAAAAGGAAATGATTGGTCAATAATAGGTCCTTTACTACCAAAACTAAGATATATGTGAGAAACATAATATAACATTCAATAACAGTATCACCAAAGCTGACAAAAATTATGAAATTCCAATGATTTTTTGTATGATGGAACTAATGCAGAACAAACTACAAGTTTATGTTTTACAAATGACCTAATGTGTGTTAACATCAACTCATTAGCACTAAAGCAGGAGGTTGTTCAAGCATATAAGTCACAAAAAATAATGTTCTACAAATAACTTTTTTATTTATTTTATTAGATATCCCTCTCTGAGGTCACTTTAGTTTTGTTTGTGGTGCTCACAGTGCTGAAAAGTGTGATTTGTAAATATTTCCAAATATATAACATGTGTTTCCTTTGCAAATTAGGAAAGAAATACTGTTGAATCCGACTTCCATGGATTATTCAAAAATAACTAGCATTTCAGGATAAACTTTACTGTTGACTCCCCCCAGTGCTTGATTTTGGGATGACCAAAGGTGAACCAAAGTTAGGCCCAAGGTTGGTCCACTTTGGATCAAAGCGACTTCTTTGGTCCAGACTGAAATATCTCATTGTTCATGTTCCCCAGAGGATATATCCTACTTAATAAAGCAGTTCATTAATTTTTCTCCATATCTTTAATTAGCTAGATGGTTATTTTTGTCTTTTATGACATTCACCTCCAAAAGACACCACCCTTGTCTGCACTGCACTACAAAATATTTATGCTAGCACAGGAAACGCACATGCTAGCTTAGCCAGCATGATAGTGCAAGGCTGCAAAGGCTAAAGAGCCTTTAAAATCTTAAATAAGTGAGCATCACAAACAAATTGAATTTGCAATCTTACCATGTTTTTGTTTTTTTTGTTTTGTTTTCTTGTTTTTTTAGAATTTGAGTGACTTGGCCTTTTACACATGGCTTTTAGTTTCAATTCATGATATAAATCAAAATTTAAAAACCTCAGTTCCTTGGTTTAAGAAAAAAATTAGAAAAAAATATCTGTCCACATAGTGTTAGTCTAGATATACATGCAATAAACTTACAGTCATAGTCAAAAAGTTCTATATAGTCATCACAGGCATCAGTGTCATCTTGTGGGCTTTTAATGAGTTCTCTGAACTGTCCTTTTTTTTTCCAGGATGTAATAATTGTGCAGCATACAATTCTTTAGTCCTTTAAAACACAAAAATTGGGCGCACAAGTTTGAATTTGTTTTGGATATTTGGTCAAATGTTTTTTAGCAAGTTATACCTCGACTAGAGGCCTTTGTTAGCCATGAACAAGCTTCTGTGGTTAAGAAATAAGTTAGAATGTTCAGGAAGTCTGAAATCAAAACTGCTGGAACACTGGCATCACTGTCCACATTGAAGCCAGTTTTATATCACCATGGCCTGAGAGGTTTTGGACCAAGAAAGAAAACCCCTGAACCAAAACTGACACCTTCAAGCTTGAAAGTTTTATGGTCAGATGAGACAAAGACTGAGCTGTTTTGCCACAATGACAAGAGGTATGTTTGGAGCAGTAAACATGAGGCTTTCAAACCTAAGAACACTGTACCAAATGGCAAGCATGGTGGTGGCATCATAATCCTCAGGGGTGGTTTTACTGCCAGTGTACTGATAGAGTGTGCGGTGGATGAAATAATAAAAAAGAGAGATTACCTCAAAATTCTTCAACTACAGCTGAGATCAATAGCTAGGTGGTTAAAACTGGGGGACAACTAGGTGTTCCAACAACATAATGACCCCAAACACACATCAGAGCTGGTTTTGGAACAGTTTAAGCTTGCTAACATTATTCTTCTGAAATGGCCTTCCCAACTAACCAATTTAGATGAACCCTGACACTTCTGCTAAGAACAGTGGTCAAATGTCCAACTAGAATTATGCCAGAAGCTTGTTGATGGTTACTAAAGTGGTTGATTGAGTTATAAATTGTTAACAGTCATTTAACCAATTTCAGGGGTGTATATAAATCTGTGTGGATTTGACAATAAAATAAATTCACCTCGTGTAGCCAATTCTTATTTTTAAAGTAAATAAAGATGTGTGCGGTACAATCATTCCAACCTGAAAAAAGAACCATTCAAAGAAATCATTAAAAGCCCAAATTCACCATGATATTCGTGGCCATGACGAGTGTATGCAACCTTCTGATCACAGCTGTACATACAGAGAGAGAGAGAGAAATACACACACACACACAGGTGTGCTCACTGCAAGAGATAGGAATGAAAAAAGCAAGATAGAGCAGCAAAGCTTCCAGCAAGGTTTGGAAGGAGAGGTGGGCTTGACGGTAAGAGAGGCACAACATCTGAGAAAGGCCTTTGAGTTTCAGGCGGAGCAGCAGCAAGGCAGGAACAGAGTGAAAAGACAGACAAAGTGACACTATGAAGAAACCAGGACAATGAGACAGATAGAGAGGGGAAAAAGACTCTAAACATAATTTGATACCAACAGAAGTTTCCTACAGTATAAATTCTTTTTGGCAGATGAAATTAAAAGAAAGAGCAAAGCCCTTCATAGTGAACTAAACAATACCAACACGAGAGATGCAGAGAGGAAGCATTCAGACAAAAGGATTCCAGGCCCAAAAAAGTCTCTTACTGTAAAAAGCAGAAAATGTAAACTTCTTTTCACTTTAGAAATGTAGCTGCTGAAGTTGCCAGTTTGGACTAAACTACTATGTATATCATTATTGATTTTTATGGCCTTGTCATTTTTGCAAATTGCAGCAAAAGGCTTAAGTATCATCAACCTATTTTATCAATGGAGTGAAAATTGTAGGAGCAAAGTTCAAACACAGTAAATCGCCACCCAAAAAACAGAAAAGCACATTGGTAAAGCAATGAATGAGACATAAATTAATAAATAAATAATAAAACAGCCTGTCTAATTATAAACACTTAATAAATAATTTTTAAGCAAGCCAACATTGCCAACTTTCAAGTTTTGACTCAAAACAATACCTCTTTCCCCATCCTGGTGCTATATGTTGATCACAAATTTGCTTTAGGTTTATTTATGAAATTTAATGATTTTAGAATGAACACTGAAGATCCTAACCATGTCCAATGATAACTGTACCTTATACCATTAAAAGTGTTTTCATTGTTACTGGTCATAGTTACTGTAATGACTATAGCATGAGATATGAGCAAATAATATCCCAAGGGGCCAATAAATAAATGGGGACTATTTTGGAGGCTTACATAAATAAGCTGAACTCAGTTATGCTCACAATTTAATTTTATATCTTTATAAACTCAACCCTTTACAAGAGGGTAACAGCTCCTATATGTAGCTAAGTCACGCATTGATACATGAAAAAGATTACTGCTACAGAAAGCAACTGTGGACAATATCTACAATAAATAAACAAATAAAAATAAAAACTTTAGAAAACAGATGAGACTTGTACACACAGTAAATTAAAAATGTCCTAATGGCTATAATAGAGAAGGCTAAACAAGTAATTAAACTGCAGCATGAAAACTGTGACTGTGTGTGACATTACCTGTCTGGAAAAAAGTAGAAGATAATATGCTGACAGATCTTTATCACTTGTGTGTCATGTTCATGAATGTTCATGCTCATATGGATCCTTCGGTTATATAACATTTACAAATTTAAGCAAAAAGTCAGTGGGAAGACTCCTATAAACAGCTGAAAGCAATAAACTGAACTCCTGTGCTCAGCATTTTGTGCAGTCATTGTGCATGAAAGGTCTTCAGTTATTTTGGACTGTGTGTCCTTTTGCTGACTAAGGGCAAGCAAATTATTGACCAGCATGAGCCACACAAGGTAGAGCCTCAAAGCAAGTGTCTCATGCCAAAAGCTTGACAGTTGGCAACCCTGAGCTGCTGCTGGTGGCTTCAAATGCACATGTAAACAAAAACGTCACACATTTCCTTTAATCAGCATACAACTGATTGGAACTCGGAAGGGGAAGGTTACTAGAAACCCAAGCCTTTTGCAGCTTTGGCACATGCATTTGTGGGCTGCATGTGTGAAACCGCCCACTGTAGTGCTGAGCTGCAATGAGCTGCTGTTATAAAGACTTTAATCACCGCTGATAAATTTAGCTTGCTTCTGAAAAGCTTTTTTTTCCTCCAAATTCCTGCAAGAATGCCAATAGCTCTGGTAAAAAGCCACTGGCATAACATTTGATATTCTAAATGAAGCTCCTCTGTACACCTACTGCTCTGCAAAACTGCATTTCATTATCCTAATTTACCAGGTATTTCTCTCAGAAATAACAGAATAATAAAACTCATCATGAATCTGAGTTTGTGAACATATTCTGCATATTTTATGGAAAAAAAGTAAATAAAAAACAAACTGCAAAGCGCATTTCAAAAATATTTTCACAAATCACTTTCTGTAAATATGTTGCTATTCAGTAAACTGAGAAAATACCTGGTAAACAACATACTGTTCTGTGGTGAGGTTTACATGAGGACATTGGCACGTGTGTCTGGCAGTCGGAGCCCCACTAGCCCGCCGCCAACCAACACGGATGATGCCAGCAGAATGGGAATGGCCTTGGTGATGCCAACCAGAGAGCCAAAGATCAGGTTGCCCAGCACCGCTGCCAGCTTACACATAGCATTACAGAAGCCAAATCCTGTGCCCCTACAGACAAAGAGGAGAAGAGGGTTACAAATGTACAATAAGTATGTCTCATTTGTTTCTTAACAATGTGAAACACCATGTTTTCTTAAAAATGCTGCTGCAAATATCCCAAATGTGCAGAAATTTAATTTCTATTCAGTTCTTGCTGTAGTCAAGGGCACCAGAAGAACTTTTGATTACTAATACAAAATCAAATCTCCTGATTGCCACCAGTTTAGAGAGCCAGAAAAAGCTGTAGATGATACAGAAGCCTTGGCATGTTTTTTACTATAGTTCATAATAAAAACTGACATGAGCCCTGAAACACAGTTTCTGATGCAATTTCTGCACCGGGTGTTTTATAACAAAAACTGACCAGCTTCCCTATGCCTTTGCTGTTTCTAACGTCTTGACCTCCAAATATGGTCTTTGCAGCTTGATGTGGCTTCTATGAAAAGCATGGCTATTTCAAGGGATGGAAAGTTGAGAGACACTTCTGACACACATCATGGTGCATCTTGTAGATTTGCAAGTTTCGTCTTGAGTATGGGCTCTCCATTTAGGCTCACATTAGTTGGTTTTTGCAGTGACGGGAAATAATAACTCCCTTCTGATATGTTCAACCTAAAGTAATGAACCTGTTTTGAAAATTTAAGTAGTAAAAAGTAGAGGTATTTACTGTATGTTAAACTGTAGGGAGTACAAATGATAAGTTGTCAGAAAAATAAATGCTCAAATAAGGGTGCCTGAAAATTCAACTTAGTACAAATTACAAAGTATTTGTACTTCTTTATGTCCAACCTGTGTCTAGAATTAAACAGTCGACTGTCGTGACAAAAAAAAAAAAACTCCCAGTACTGTGAAGTGACATTACAGTCTGTGAATGGGTCAGACTTTGGCTGTGAATGTCCTCAGTGTTTCACTAATAAAAGGTTTGAGGTTGCTACTTATCAAAGTAAATTTTAAATTATTTATCACTCCCAAAACTTCCCAACTTTGAAGCAGTGCTATAGCACAGCACTGCTTAGTTTTATTCAAAGATCAAAGCAAAACTTCCAAGCATGAGGAAAAACTCGATTTTTTGTTTTGTTGTTGTAATGTTTCTTGGCCTTAGGCTTCTGCAAGACTAGTTCTTGAAAAGTCTTGAAAAACAAGAAATAATAAAGACGTGTTCTTCTTTATCTTTCTTTCATATGGGGGAACTGACAAGACAAAATTTTGCACAAATATTGGTTTGCTCAGTGATAAAGCACAGAGCCACACTATTTCCTGTATTCTAAGTTAGTATATGCAGTAAGTGCACCACTCACCTCCTGTCTGTTGGGTATAGTTCAGTGGTGACCACATCCAGGGAGTTCCAGGCGGAGATACTGAGGCCGTTGTAGAGACAGAGCATGAAGATCATCATTGACTCGCTGGTGCCAAACCAAAGGAAGAAGCAGCTGATGCCTGATAGCACCATGGAACCTCCTGCAGAGCACAGCATGAGCTTTACATCTTAAACTTGAAATAACTTCATTCACGTCACTAGAGGTCACTGCAGGCACAAAAGCCAACTGCACATGACACTAGAACAACAAGGGGAAAAATTGCTATTCATATCCCACATCGAAAGGAAATCCTACCTAACATGCTTAGGCGTCCTATTTTGTCCATGAGGAGAGCAGAGACAATGTTTCCAGGAAGCACAGCCAACGTTCCCAGGAAGTTGACAAAATAGACCCAGTAGGCACTGTAATCGTCATCAAATGTCATCTGACAGCCTGTCTTGTTGTGGTGAAAAGAGCTGTTGATCACCCTTGAATTTGTCAGCTTGGTGTCATCAATATCTGTAAATGTAGAAGATAAAAAGAAAGGTTTTACATGTTGACTCGGGATTAAAAGTTTGTATCTGACTGTCACCTTCTACTACCACTTGCTATTAACTCGAACAGTGGCAGACAAGACATTATGCATTGTAACATGGAAACCAACACCTAAGAGTATGTTCAAAAGCACAAAAGCACAAAAAAACACAAAGTGTTTTCTTTGTTATATCGAGACAAGAATGAGCTTTAATCTCAAATCTGATCATGACTCTTGGGCTCAAAACTACATAAAATACAACTAATTGAAAAAAGTGAACAATGTATATCCTAAGACCAGATGCAAGACGTGAAGAAGCAGACAGATAAATGTTAGCTGACAAAAAGGGTAAACATAAAAATGACCCAAGAACACAAGAAAGTTAAAAAAAAGAAGAAGATTATGAGTGTAACAAACAAGACATTCATTAATATGTTAGCTATTTGTTAGATTCAGATGTATTGATAGGCACATTTGATCAAAGCCATTCTTACTCCAGTCATGCCAGTTTAAACTAACTATCTCCTTACTGTAGCATGTTTTGCCTGCTAGCTGAGAAAACTATAATTTGGGATTTGCCTGGTTTATGTGGCTAACAGTTAATTTGCCTGTCATTGCTAATGTAATTTGCTAATTGCAAATTTTTGAATTTCATTGACATTCCATGATGTGTTTATAAGTTGCTAAATAACTGCTAGCTTCTTCCTGTCTGAACAACCCTTTACATACAGTCCTCTAAAAAGCTAACAGCACTTAGCTTGATGGCTATGATGCTATGCATCATTAGAATACTGACTGCCTAAAAAGTTTGCTTGGACAGGATAGGAAATGACACCACAGTCCATTTAACATTACTACAGAGAGTCAAAGTACTGCAGTACTACCAGAGTTCTTTGTCTTCTCTGCAGGATAAAGGACTAAAGACTAAAAGACAGACAACAGCACAAATATAAACAACTACGATGCTGGTTCATGCTGTTTGAGTAAAATATCCATTGTGTGGCAGTTCTCTGGACAGAAACGCTTTGTTGATGCCAGAGGAGAGTGGCTAGACGATCTCAAGGTGACAGGCAGGGGGGAGTAACTCAAATAATCACTCGTTAAATCCAAGGTATGCAGAAGAGCATCTCTCAAACACACAATACGTGAAATTCTGCTCTCTAGAGACACATTTCCAATTGCAAAAAGATTTCACATCTCATGGAGCATTACTGGCAAACCCGACATGCCCATGCTGTTGCTATATTCAGCGCATTCCTGAGTGCTGAAGGGGACTGATTTTCTACCATGTGCTCCCTCAAGGTCTGATTCAGCTCCAATTCTCTCAGACCATTTAAAACACCTCTCCTGCCTTTGCCTTTTGGTTCAACTTGTTTCTTTGTCGGCCTTAAAATAACTGGATTACACTTTCATAACTTAGATTTATTAACAGTACAGTTTGACACTTTTGGTGCTGCTGCAATTTTAAATTTGTTCCTGAAAAAGAAAACAGTAATCAGCAAGACCGCCTTAGTAAAGAAAAATCCACATGCACAGAGAAATATTTCTAAATAACTGTCTGACTGAACAATCACATAAGAAAATGTATCTCTGCAGGAGTCATCATGTGGTTACAAACTGCCATTTTCAGTCCTCCCAAGCACAGCTTGGCCCACTTTTTTGTTGTTAAATAAAGTCACAGTTAGTTCAGAGAGGCAATCTGTGCAGGGGGCACAGAGGTTAAGCAGTAATTTAGAGGCATAAAGCAGAGGTATAAAATGCTCAAAACCATTCTTTCTTCTCTGAGCAAGAAGTTTGGATCCATAATGAACTGCCAGACAGAGGCGGGGAGCCTGAGTGAGACTTATGTATAAGGCAACAAGAGCAAAATAGGATTTTCTGGGTTGAAGAGAAGTACCTTTGTTCTGGAAAGGCAGAAGAGAAGTGCCCTGAATAAGTGTGCATTTTACAGATGTGGTTTACCTGTGTTGTAAAAGAAGGAGTCTACAAAGGTACAGTTCCTGAAAAGGGATCCTACTGAGGAGACATCTTCAAAGTAGCAGTTGAGAAAAGATGAGTCGATGAACGTGACTGCCTTAAACCTCATACTGATGAACCTAAAAAATAAAAATAAAAATAGGAAGTGGACAAGGATGGAGTTATTGCAAGAAAGAAGCACCTACTGACAGCGATATGCAACACACATGATTGACAATTAGGGTGATGGCAGATAATTTTCCTTCAAACCAGGGAAATGCAGAGTCACTATTTCAGTGTCTGCACAGACAACAAAGGCAGGGATGAATTGCTGAATGCAAACCAAACGGTCCAATTTCAAACTTCTTAAGATGGAATATTAGAAATTAGATGTAACAAAGGCTGCTAGATGGAAGTGAATAGCTGGATTTAACCTGATATAAAACCTCAGCAGAAATTTGAAATATTTCTACTAACATTTTTTTATTTTTGGAGATACAAGGCCTTTTACTTTTTACTGAATTAATTAGGCATTGAGGACATCTGTAACTGAACGAATAAAGCACTTAAAACCAGAATGTATGATATTCTTTATAATACTAATACTAATACTAATATAATAATAATACTGTCCACTTCCGTTTGAGTGTCTCAAACTGGGGAACTATGGATACAAATAGCTGTAATTCTACAACAATTCAACAGTTAATGCAATACTTTTGTTGAGCCCCTCAAATTAAAGTTGAAAGCCAGCACTTTAATCACATGATGTATTGGTTTGATTTAAGAGTCACTGTGGTGCTAAAAGAGGCCAAATTACAAAAACAAAAAAGGTCACTGTCCTCCAGCAGAACCAGGAATTTCCCACTTCAGTTCACCCTCCATTCTCCACATTTTTTTAATCATTCAGGAACAGGAAAAATAATAATAATAAATAAAAAAAATAATCCAACTTGAATTTTATCGAAGTACTGGTCAGCATGACAGCATCAGGAAACTGGTTTTTTTTGTTTATTTTATCTTCAAAAAACATATTTATTCTGTTCAGTTCCACTCCATATTTGTCCATGGTCAGCTGCACCCCATCTACAGTGGATCTGTTCTCCACCAATGGTATATGTCCCACAGTTTGAAAACCACCAGCATCTCCTCCCTTCAGGATGTCTGGCCTTAGCAGTCAGTTATCTATGTGTGCTATTTCACACCACGATACACAGTACATGGTACTGTTTTTGATTTAATCTCTTATAATAAATGCACTCTGGTCTCCAGTGAGAAGGCAAAAAGAACAAAAACAGCATATCAATGTGTCTTCGCTCGGCTCTGTTTGTGAGAATTGTAACCAGGAGGAGGACCAGATGTGTGTATATGGGTGGAAGAGAGACCGTAAGAAAGAATAAGGAAGAGAGATAAGCTTTTTAATTTCCTGGTGGCAGACGAGAAAGAGGAAAGATTTATATTACCTGCAGTGGTGTGTTGTTTGTGGGAATGACAAATAGTACTGCTATCCCACAACAGGACAAGCAGCTTTAAACTCAACATTGTGCTAAAAGAGGCTTACAGGTTTAGATCACAATGTGTTACCCTGTAGCTAGTTTTAATAATTTCTCCCACTCTTGATATCGGTGTCTGAGAAAGCTGAAGATCACTGGAAAGTATTCAAATAGAAGTCGGTTTGTGCACCAAGCCTGGCGTACCTGTCATTTACAAAGACCCCATTTCTGTGGATCTGGTTCTCCAGGGTGAAGTTGAAAGTGAAGTCTTCAATGCGTTCATTGTTATGAATCTTCACTCTGGAGGCGTACTCGTCAGCTTGAAGGTGCTTGATGACATCTGGGAACCACACAGACAGCCCGTAGTACCTGAACACAGCAAAAGATTCTGTATTAAATTGCGTTACATATGGTCATTTTTAATAACCTCTAGTAATAGTCACTTTCTCTATTCTCCATCATCTTATTCTGCAGAATTGCGTTAAACAAACTGGTTAAAAGATCCACTGTTCTCTCTCATCTCCATACCTTCTCAGGTATCCCGTCTGGACCAACAGCTTTTCCATTCCGCATCCTCGTCATAGCTGACCACACTTTCTTTTTATTAATCCTCCACACTTGCTGATTCACCATCTTTACTCCATCTCCACTTGTCTCTCTCTCTCTCATTTTCTTCAGTCATAAGCTCTTCATAGTACTTCTGCCATCTTCTTAACACACTTTTTATACTTGCTAGCACATTTCAATCTCAATCTTTAATCACCCTGACCTGCTGCACATCCTTTCTGGCTCTATCTCGCTGTCTAGCCAATCGATACGCGTTAGTTTCTCCTTCCTTAGTGCCCAGACTCACCTACAACTCAATATATGCTTTTTTTCATTTGCTTCTGTCTTTACCATACAGCCAGGTTCCCAGTGCTCCTGTCTTTTTCTTTATTTTCTTTGCTAACATCTTTCTTTGAGTTGCTTTAGTCTTTCCATAAGGATCTATATTAAAAGAACATGAGTCAGATGCAACACTACTGCACAACATCTGCTGAGAAATATTTATCTGGATGTACATATATGCAGATGGTTAGGTGGAAGGTAAAAGACATGAAACTGTCTTTGTTTAAATGATACTGCTTTGTCTAAATTGCCACAAAGTCATTAGGACAGTGCAGCGTTAACTGACCACAAGTTCAAAGCCATTGCCCTGATGTTGATGTTTTCTTGCAGAGGTAGAGTATGAGGTGTAATTGAATACCAGTTTTTTTTAAACAAACAAACAAACAAACAAACAAACAAACAAACAAACAAACAAACAAA